CTCTTGTGAAGGTGAGTTGATTTAATACTTCTTTTACAATGTATTCTATCCCTTTTGTGTTTAGTACTAGGCACAACCTTTTATGCATTTGTCATGTTGGTATTTCTAAAGAATATTTCAGATTTTGGGGTGCTTTATGTGGTTTGTTTGCCAACAAAAGCTCGATTGCATCGCTTGGCTTATTACACAAGACCAGTCCTTATGGCCGTATGGTGTCCTTCAATTCCCTTCGGGGAACCAATAAACCCAGAAATGGGGCTCAAAATCTCCTTCAGGAGAGCATAGAATTCCTTCGGGAAGCAAACAAACCCAGAAATGGGGCTCAAAATGTGCTTCGGCACACTGAATATTCCCTTCGGGGAACTAGTAATCACAGCAATGTGACTGAAAGGCACTATAATGGCAAATAATTTGCAAACCAATTTGTGAACGAAAGTATTTTCGGGATACCTGTGTACATGTTGCTGTATTTCTCGGATAAAACAGGGCAAACAAATCACATTTTTAGCACTGTATATAATGATCGAAGTAATCTTGTTGACGAATTCACCTCAAAAACTAGTAAGAACAGTATAACAAATGCATTTGAGAAAACTATGYCTAGTATTGAAAACAAACATGATAATAATAAACATGCATCTTGTCCATCTATCAAGATCTCCAAGTGTATAGAAAATCATAGACATTCTCGAATATGTTCAAAGCAACTAAATCACAAATTTAGAGATAGAGAACCATCTAGAATATCCCTAAAAAAAGTTATGAGATTGCTCAGATGTAGAAAGTTAAGAAAAAGACACAAAAAGATGATTATTAAGGGCACACCTGTTTCATCTGTTTTGTACAGAATTGCTACAAACTATAACTATTGGAAATTGAAATACATTAACAGACTTAATAGTTTCTATAGCTCCTTTTTTAGAGCAACTTGTAAAACATCAGTGAGGTATAATGCATGTAAACAAACTCTTTTATTGTCTGGGGACATTGAATTGAATCCTGGTCCTGTAACTGATAATAATAATATTGAATATATATGTTTATATAGTAATGGTGACTTTASGTTAAGATACCGAATGCTTCGACATGGTTTAACACCACTAGATGTTGGTGGAGGAGGTGATTGCTTTTTCAAATCAGTATCACATCAGCTATATGGTAATTCAAATAAACATGCAGAAATTAGAGCTTTAGGAGTGAGATATTTAAAGGACAATYCTGAACGATTTATTGAAAGTATCATAGATTCATCTTGGTCACAGTATTTAACTAATATGTCTCTACAAGGAACATGGGCCAATCATATTATAATATAGGCTGTTGCTGATGCAATAAGTTTAAAGATTCATATTATAGAATCAGATTCAAATATTAGGGAAGTCACATTAGTTGAGCCAGCAAATACAATAACAAATAATATTAGAACAATATACATAGGACATATTGGTCAAGTGCACTACGTATCAACATGTTCGAACAATATTGACAGTGAAAATACAATTTCAAGTCGTCCAGAAAAAAGAAAGCGAGGAAGTACAAGCAAAAGTTCTAATTCAAATGAAACAAAAAAGCAAGACAGAGCTACCTACATTAGGCAATACATGAAGCAATACAGGCAATCCAAACAAAATAATACTTCACCAGAAAAAAAATCAAAGAGAAATGAATACCAAAGAAATTATAGAGAAATGAATGCATCACCACAAACAAAAATGAAGACAAATATATACCTAAGAAAATATAGAGAAATTAATTCATCACCAGAAAAGAAATTAAAGTGTAATGAATACCTAAGAAAATATAGAGAAATGAATGCATCACCAGAAAAAAAATCAAAGAGAAATGAATACCAAAGAAATAATAGAGAAATGAATGCATCACCAGAAAAGAAATCAAAGCGTAATGAATACCAAAGAAAATATAGAGCTAACTCATCCATTGAATTTGCAATAAAGCAGTTCCATGAAATAGTAAACCAAGGCCCTCTGTATATTTGTACATGTTGTGATCAACTATGGTATAAACATAGTKTGAGTAGTACTACTAAGCTGAGACAATCAAATCCTGATATTGTGAAATATCTATCAAATAAGATAAGTGTTGGTAACAAAGAATGGGTTTGTAGAACATGCTCTAATTATTTGCAAAAAAATAAAGYCCCACCATGTGCTGTAGCGAATGGTATGGCATTTCCAGATAAACCAGATTTCTTTGATCTCAATGAACTAGAATGTAGATTATTAGCTCCAAGAATTGCATTTCAAAAATTAATGCAGGNGAGAGGTTCACCTCCATACTTTGAAAAAGCTAAAAAAGATCTGTTTGCAATGATTAGACAGTTAGGTCCTGCTACACTATTTTGTAGTTTCTCATCAGCTGAAACACAATGGATGCACCTACTTAGAATACTTGGTCAGCTTGTAGACAATAAGGAATACACTGATVAACAAATAGACAATTTTAATTGGGATGACAGGTGTCGCTTCATTCAGAGTGACCCTGTGACATGTGCAAGACACTTTGATTATCAAGTTAATCAATTTTTAACAAACTTCTTGTTCAGTTCTGCTCAACCTTTAGGTAAAATATCTGACTGGTTTTACCGTGTAGAATATCAGCAAAGAGGGTCTCCTCATATACATATGCTGATGTGGCTTGAAGATGCACCACAATTTCAAATAGATAGTGATGAAGATGTCACATCATTTATTGATAAGATAATAACTTGCCAAAAGCCAGTAGACAATGCTGATTTACTAGACTTGGTTAATAGACAGGTACATAGACATTCRCATACATGCCGTAAAAATACAAGTAGTAAATGTAGATTTAACTATCCACAGCCACCAATGAAGCAAACTATGATAATATATCCTCTAGATGAGGATACACCCGAAAAGGAAATAAAAATACATAGAGATAATTGGAAGGCAATTCAAGTGTATCTAGATGAAAGCAAAGAAGGTGAAGATATTACATTTGACCAGTTACTCGTGAACCTTAATATCACTAAAGAAAACTATTTACTTGCTSTAAGTTCATCGATTAACACACCTACTGTGTTTCTGAAAAGAAATCCCAATGAATTACGCATAAAT